AGCTGGTGTAAATATTTCATTAAATTTTACTGAGCGAAACTGTTCCCCAGACATCAGTCCTTTACGAAGTTTCCCTTTAAGCACCTTTGCCGCAAAGGTATGTGCAGCAATAAAGAAAGAAAACCACAGCTAGGTAGCATGATTTATGTCAATCTCCTAGATGAGGGTTCGATCCCCGTCAGGGTGTCTTTCTTGTATTTCTTCTAAATGTGTTCTATTTTCTCAAATAAATTACATGACTTTAAAACTCGTGTGATGCGCGGAAGTGTCGATGGAATCGTCAATTTTTCATGATAGTCCTGGAAAAGACTATGTGTGTTAAAAATTTAGCGAATATAAAACTAAAAAAACGAAATTTCTTCTGTAATTAAAACAAACATAAGTTGTACGTCTTAAGACTGCAGCAAAAGCCTGACCGACATAAAACAGCGCGCTGCGTCTGTGGACTTCTCGTTTCTCCCTTATCGCGCAGTTTGTAGCTTCTTTATGTTGACGTTCAATGCTCACAAAGGGTTTTTAGGCCAGAGGGTACGAAAACTTCCCGTCATTATCTGGGACGTTACGGAAGACGTACGAAGGGTGAAAATGCGCCTGGGCTGGCAGGCTTTGAAATCCGTGCCTCCGCTTGGGAGCCGCGAGCTCTGCCAACCAGGCCACGCACGCGACAATATGAGCCTCAAAAGCCCACCAGGCTTCTCCGTTGCATACTTGGAGGTTTATCAAGAACCTATGGCTGAGAATGGGATTGAAACACAAAAGTTAGGCTCCAGACTTCTAGCTTTTGGAAAAATACAGAAAAAACTTCTGACGTACTGCAGGCGCAGCAAAGTGCCAACGTTAGTGGGAAGTATATGTTGACTCGTGAGGCCTTTCAGCATTGCCTATTGCTTCTGTATCCCGTAAATGACAATATGCTGATTTAGTGGGCGCGCCTGTTTGTGCTAGCAGTAAATGCAAACGGAATGCAGGCAGAGCAATAACTAAACGCTAAAGGTGGGATTAGACACACACGCACAACCTATGACAATCACAATAAACATTTATAGTTGTAGTTGTAGCTATTTATTACAGGCCCCGCGGCACGGAAAACGGAACTGGGGCGCCATAAATTTGCATAAAGCTTTTTATTTATATATAGATTGCCACGTACCGCAAACTAATTGGTCAGCTGCCCATGCAAGAATAAAATTATTACACGTAAACCTATGACTTCACTTGATCTCCGTGTCAGTTGCTGCCATGCAAATTGAACCCTAATTTCTGATTGGTAAAAATATTTGATAAAGGTTGTGTATAGTTTCATTTTCTTTTGTACATGAACGCTTCTCAAGTGCTTCATAACATTTCAATGTTTTGTGTAACTCAACCACTGACTGGTAATGCTTTTTTGCACCACAACTCAGTATTCATCGCTGTGGTGTAGGTTTTCGGTTGATATTTAAATGGTTTGGAATATATTTCATGGGCAAACGCTTCAGTCACTATCCGTGGTTATGTTTCGTGTGTTGTTTCGTCTGGCCATGAGTATTCTTTTTTGGGCCACCGGTATCTTTTTTTCAGCCAAAACAAAATATTTTTCAGGTATAGTGCTTCTCGGTAGTCATGATCTTTAGCAGGTTTGTGAAGGAATTCCGGATATAAATTCTAGATTTACTGAAAATCTTAAAGACTTTAATCTACCCATCTGTATTTCCACTTCCTATTTCATAGAAAAATAACACACCCCAAGAAGCGTGTTACAAAACTAGTTTTAATGAACCATTTGTCACATCCAGACAAAGTCCCTTCAATATCTGGGTGTCGCCAAAATACCTACATCAACCATCCTCATGTTTTTCATGATCTCGTATCAAGGCACTCTGAACGACTCTCCCTGTACTAATACTTCAGGTCCTCGCTATTTCTCTATGCCGCAGACCAAACGATGTGTTGTAATAATTAATTATACAAACGGCTACGTTGGGTGGCACTTTGGTAAAACGCGTAGCTAGTCTAAACCACACATGGCTACATGTTTATTTTTATTTTAATGTCCCATTCTTGATATGCAACATCCTTGCGTCTCTTGTTTCCTTTTTTTTTTTGCTACGTATACTACCTTGTTACGGTGTTTTGTAAGCGAAGCATGTCGAAGAGCACAGCAATGGAAAGTAGGACTTACCTTTATGCGCATATAAAGCAACTCTCACAACATGAGGTGTATTTCAATTAGAGCACGAATACCCAATTAATTATTAACTACCGGTCCTTGTCACTAAGAGATAATGTACATTAATAATGATGTCGCAACACAGTATCGTCGCATGCTAGGCCATGTTGTCGGCATTAGCTATCTGAATATGCTCGTCACGTGGTGGTAAACAAAGCCATGCAGTATCTTTGCATTGCTAATAACCAGAGACATCTAAAAATCAATTACTCTGCGGAGTCCCTTGTATTTACCGTGTTTGCCACACGTGAAGAACACCAACTTGCATAAATCGCTCCAAACAATTTCGTATTTGAAAGAAAAAGCTTGAAATAATTATTTAGATAAAAAAAAACAAAAAAAAAATGAAGTCATGCACTTAAAATAGGTTTTCATTTGTGCTGCATAGAAGGGGATATCATATCAAGCCCTCAATTGGCCGTTACATTCCTTGTGGCATGTGGATTTTGTAACTGTTTTTTTTTTCTAATATGACTATATTGTCGTATTTAAGACATCAAATTCGACATTCGTTTCACATATGGCTCTTCCGAAAGTGAAACTCTAGAAAAAATGCATATCGCAGGATTTGTTCCACATTGGTCTTCAAGCCAGTATGCTTGGTGCTATCCATGTGCACCTCCGGGAACGCACTTTTCGTGTGAAGCGTGGGGCAATTATTTCTAAAGAATTCTCGCAAAACAGTGAAGTCGCACAAGGCGGTGTGCCTAGCGTCACATTTTTATCGTAAAACTAAATTCAATTGCTCGTATTATATCAATATTTGTTCAGTACTCACTCTATGTTGATGATGTACAAATTTCAGTCACATCTTGTTATCCGTCCATTTGTGAACGTCGACTTCAACTTGCGATCAACAATTATGTCAAAAGGGCAGATATCAAAGGTTTTAGGTTACCTCCTCAGAAAATGGTTTGTGTGTGCTTCTTTCTTCGTCGGGAAATTTCACTTGAGCCTTTTTTAATTATGTGTAAAGTTCCTTTTGCACTAAAGAACGAACACAAGTCTTTACGTCTTGTATTTCACTCGAAAACGACTTTCATTCCACATGTTAAGAGCCTCAGAATGAAATGTGTGAAATCACTTAATATACTAAAGATCTTGTAGCACGTGCCCTGGAGGCTGATCGGTGTTTTTTATTGCGCATCTAGCGTTTGGTCGTACGCTCCCGACTTGATTATGGCTGTATTGTGTACGGCTCCGCGCTAACATTGGTTCTCAAGATGCTGGATCCCATCATCATCAGGGGCTCCGACCAGTCAGAGGTCCCCGCATTTTCAGATCCTGCTCCTACCTATCGTCTGCAAAAAACGGAGATCTTGATGGTGTGAAATGCACATTGCGGATCACTGTGGACGCTTTAAAGGGGTTACGAAACGATATCGTGCTGAGATGTTCATGACTTAGCAGAGGCGTACTCGTCCTACCTGGCCCAAGTATATTCATACAGACCGCCACTGATTCAAACGCTTCTTCGCCGCGGTGAAATTGCGAGGATAAAAGGGGACGCTTTGTTTCAGTCTTGCCTTTGCAAAGCTTGACGACGTAATTGTGGAATAGAAACCACCCACCTGATGACAATCGAGCGCGGTTCATAGATTTGACACTAGAACTGCGGGAGAACTCGACTTCGGCTCGTAACAGTCAATGACTCGGCGGAAACTTGGGTAATGGCTCGTGTCCAAACACTGCGGTGATTAGAATAGCCGAATTCTAACAATGCCTGGAGCTCAGCCAGCGGTTCTCTAGTTGCCGACCCAGACCGTGGCTATGATTAAAGTTGGCGGCATAGAATAGGGACCAGGCCACGTGGCCCCTTGTTCTAGCTCTGAGTTAAGGGGTTAAACGGTGCTCATATTTCTCGAATTTATTTGGCACTTGCTTTTTCTTAAAAGAAAAACTAAGGCATGTTTATTCGGTTACTTACGTCAGGGAGTGATTCCGAGTTGTATTTATCGAAAGTGCAAAAATTGTTTCATGGCCCCATTAATATAGCCAACGTAGTAAATTCGTTAGGATTCTCCGCTAAGTCGCATTCAGGACTAACTCCACGAACGAGCCATACTTCCGTTGACAGGCTCTGCTTTTTAGATGCCCGTTACGTGGCGGCATCCCAACGGTGATAACAAAGTCCTGGTAGGCACGTAAATCGTGTTTCAACGGTTCACATTATCGTGTTTTCGTCTATTTAAAAAAAAAAAAAACGACAGATGCGTGATCGTTTAGGTTTATTTAGAAAGTCATCGAAAACAAGCTTCCAGGTTTGCCAAAAGGTGGCGCCAAACAGCTGAAGTAAAGTGTCATTCTCAATCATTCTCCTAAAGCAAATGTGTCTCTTCGGACACATTTGCTTTAGGAGAATGTTACAACATGCTGTGGATATCCCATAGACGTCGCTCGAGCAGCCTGGTTTGGGTTAGGTTGCACCCGTAAAAAAGGCACCGATTTCGATCAAAAGTCACTCTGATGATGCTATCGAGAGCTGGAAAAGCGCAAAGATAATTTCATAGCGTTATAAAACTAAAAAAAAATATTTACGTCGTATTTATGGGAGCGCGAAACCTAGGGCCAATTTGCAAGTTCCATAAGGCAATCTGCTCGTTGAAGCCGTAACATGGCGCTATCGGTAAACTCTAGAAGTGTAGTGTTGAGTAAAATGATATCAAAAGCATTGTTAGAAAGGGAAACGTTATTTATTTCCGCGTTTTCATTTGGATTTCAACCATAGAAGCTTCCGTGCCCGCCGTAGAATCCGAGCCCGCCGTATCTGCTGTACAGTCCTTCATCACGCAGACTGCTTCCGTATCCGAGCCCGTAGCCGGCGTAGCCGTCGCATTTGCCGGCTACGCAGCCGCCGTAGCTGCCGTGGCGGGCGTGGCCGCCGTCGCCGCCGTAGCCGGCGTAGCCGCCCTAGCCTTCCTAGCAGGCGTAGCCGCCGTAGCCGGCGTGGCCGGTGTAGCAGCCGTAGCCGCCCTAACCTTCCTAGCTGGCGTAGCCGCCGTAGCGGGCGTGGCCGCCGTAGCCGGCGTGGCCGGTGTAGCCGCCCTAGCCTTCCTAGCTGGCGTAGCCGCCGTAGCGGGCGTAGCCGCCGTAGCCGGCGTGGCTGGTGTAGCCGCCGTAGCCGCCCTAGCCTTCCTAGCTGGGGTAGCCGCCGTAGCCACCGTAGCCGGCGTAGCTGGTGTAGCCGCCGTAGCCGCCCTAGCCTTCCTAGCTGGCGTAGCCGCCGTAGCCGCCGTAGCCGGCGTGGCCGGTGTAGCCGCCCTAGCCTTCCTAGCAGGTGTAGCCGCCGTAGCCGGCGTGGCCGGTGTAGCAGCAGTAGCCGCCCTAACCTTCCTAGCTGGCGTAGCCGCCGTAGCGGGCGTGGCCGCCGTAGACGGCGTGGCCGGTGTAGCCGCCCTAGCCTTCCTAGCTGGCGTAGCCGCCGTAGCGGGCGTAGCCGCCGTAGCCGGCGTGGCCGCTGTAGCCGCCGTAGCCGCCGTAGCCGCCCTTGCCGCCCTTTTGGAGGCTCCGAGCACGCCGGCAAGAGCCACGATGAGGATAGTCAGACGAAGCTGCAGGAGAATTCCATCATGAGTTTAACAAGTTACAATGCGACGTTTTTGAACTGATATTCAAGTCTACATTTTTGCATACAGTGGCCTGTATTTTGTTTTCGTATGCGATTTAAAAAAAAGTTCGGGCGGATATTGCCGCGCGCAGGGCCGAACAAGCAGCACTCGGTCACGCAATGCTTCAAGGCGTTGCGTTTCTTTTACTCGGGGCGTAACTTTTATTATTTCGTCTTAGTTTCTTGTTCTCGAAAGTGTCTGTACATTCTTAACCCGAACGCGCGTTGCTTGAAACTTCGGGGCCGACTTGTTGCGATGCCGATGCACACTAGATAAGGAGCTGCCCGTGGCCTTGCAGGGTCAGTCTCGCTCTCACTTCCTGTTACGCCGCGAAATTGCTGCCCGCTTTTCTGCTGTATTGACGCTGGTTCTTTGTTTTGTTCGGCACTATTTTGCTAACTAAACCTTTCTTTACAGTTCATTATTTATCGCATTTCGCCTTAAACCTGTTTTACATGCAGCGACTGTGCGAAAAACACTCGGTGCTACAGCCGACGCTTCGAGTGCTATCGCAATATTTGGTTTCACATGCTCCAACAACAGCCCAATTTCTGGCGGCGCAGCCGGCTCTTCTAGTTGCAGCGGACACGGACGCGACGCATTTCACTCTGCCTAAAATACAACAAAAGAAGTTGTAATAAACACACATGTTTTACGAATACAACATGTTACTAAAACTCTCTAAAAATTAAACACTAAACCAAAATCTTTTAGGTGCCTAAATTTATTTTCAAATACGCAGCTATCGCGGATGAAAGCTGGCTAATGAACGGCTGGTGGACGAGAAAGCGATGGCACCGACTTTGCGACAAAATACCACCTTGGTGGAAAGCAGTTGCAGAGCCGCTGCGACAGTGCGACTGTGATTTTAACCGCACATTTGCGTCAAGTCGCAGCATGTGAAACAGCCTTTACTCCGTAACAACATTGACTTGTAGAGACACGTATAATTAATAATGAGGTAAAAATGTAATAGCGCAAAATGAACAAGACAAGAGAATAGACAAAAGGGACACCTGGACTGTCTACTTTCTTGTCTTTATTCTTTTCGCGCTATTTTATTTTCTATTTAAAAATGCACCAGTGTTCTACAGCCGCTTCCGTTCCGGGAACACGTTCCGGGAACACTTTCAGGGAACACGCTCCCGGAACGTGTTCCTCTTAGGAGGAACGCCGCTGTTCCGTCTTGCGTCGATGGAACTGGGACGAAAACTCGCTACATTTTCGAGAAAACGGCAGGAGGAACGGCATTGCTTATTTATTTATGTATTTAACTGCAGATTTGCCCGACTTCATTAAGCGTTTAGGCTTTCTCTTATCGTCCATTTCAACTTCTCATTTCAAGGGATGGGGAAGTTTCGGAGGGATCATCGAAAAAAAAAACGGGAACAAATGTGATCGTCCCAACTGGACACGTAGTTTTATGCGAATATTTTCACTTTATTTATTTATTTTATGTCTGGATTATCCAGTACAATATTTTATTAAAATGAGCAAATGTACCATTAATTTAACAGCACGTTCCAATCTTACAAATGGGACGAGAGCGTTCCTTGCGAACCACTGGAACTTGTGACGGGAACCCATTCTACGATTCAGAAAGAACGAGGAACATGATTTTATTCCCGTTTTCGAGGAACGTGTAATACAGTGATACTCACCAACTAGCACTTTAGGGAATGGTCAGAAATACAAGTTAAAAGGTCCGCGTGCACACGGCCAAGCAGATCCCTCTTCATACCGTATGTTTTTTATGTGAACGTTTCCCTTTTATGTTTTGAAGTCTCTGATGAGACGGTCGACGCGCGACAATATTTAAGAGTAAATTTGTATGCGTTTTTCAATTACTATGTTTCCGTGTTATCGGATAAATCCGAAAAAATCCGAAAAAACTCGCGCCGTAAAATTGCCGCCAAGAAAAACTAGAAAATTCCAGGTCCCACAAAATATAAAAATGAAAAAGGCGGTATTTTTCAAATACATTTTATAAAATCACATTATCACTGGTCCTGAGAGGAGCGTGTTAGTTTCCTTTCACACTTGGATTACTGGCGAAAATGGGTTACCTTTTAGCTCGTTCAGGTTTGTTGTCTTGGTCACGACTAAAGCCATTGTTTAGGTTTCTAGTCTGGGCCACACTATATGGGTGGGTCTCAAGAAAACGAGTGGTACAGTTTTTTTTAACAGTGATAGCTATGAACGCGCATATTTCAATGGATGGGAGAGTGCAGCTGAAGCTCCCATACTTTCCAGCGACCACGTCCAGGAGTTTACATATTTGAAAGAATCGACTGTTATTGAAGCAACACAATTTTGCAGTGTCTGTCGTGGGATAGTTAGCATTGCCAATAGTAATGCGCTAATGCCAAGTGCAGCTGATTAAATAGTATTCGATAAAGGCGAGTTTTGAAATATGTAAGGTACGTTTATGTCCGGACTTTTAATTTCTATTTGAAATGAGGAAAAATTGTCAACAAATTAAAATTTGGCTCCGAATTTTAGAAAATTGAAAAACTAACAAAATAAACTCCGATAAGCCCGGTTTTTTTAGCGGAAAATAAACTCCGAATCAGCAAACAATTTTGTTTGTTGTTTCGCAGTGAGATACTCGACATTTTTTTATTGTGTAAAGTTGCTATGTCATTGTCCACTAACGGAAAACGAGAGGATCGAGAATGAGATTTTTCTATTTCTTATACTGCTTAAAAGAGCGGATTGCGTTTTGTTAGATTTAATCGTGCGGTCTCCCATCATGTCTAAAATAAAGTAATATATGGATCATTATTGCTATAAGCAAAGAAATAGCAATTTTTAGATTAAATGCTTCTATACGAATATCTCAGCTCTCATCCTTAGTAAGTATGAAATACAAGAACGTTCATAGTTTAGTCCCTCACATAAATGTAACAGTCGAAATTCAATATGGCGTTTTGAGGCTCTCAAGGTCTATGAATTGCGAGATTGCATCTGTATTTTTACGCTGATTTCTGGATCCTTCTTCGTCAATTAGTGTATTTACAACCTTTTAAGTTAAAATGTCAATGATAAATTGAAGTGGCAAGTCTGCATTGTAGTTCAATATCTTTCTAAATCTTTTATACTGAATTCAGTAAATAAAATGTATGTGAAAACGTGTCGTTTAAAAGTAAAAATAAAGAAAAATATGCATCTATAAATAAAGGAGCTTAAAGCACCGTATATAAGTTAGAAAGCAGCATATAAAAAACTAATGCCTCTCACCAGAGCCGTCATGGTTTTCAGTAGGTTGGTTTCTTTGGATGCTCTTGGCTGAAGTGTGAAAGTGCCCGTGTGCTTTCGGTGAGCTTGCGCTGTTTTATATAGCAAAATGAGCCTGGCGGTGGACTGCGAGGTGTCTTCATATTCAGCCACGTGTATGTAAATTTACAATAAAAAATAAAAAAAAGACACGGTTTATAATGAAAATGCAGACATGTAGTCTAGACGTACTCTGTAGTAGTTAAAATGTAATTAATATGCAGATAGGTAGGGTGGTCCTCGGTGGCTATGCTGCGACACAGTCAAATCATCCACTCGCTTTCGCTATGCAGGTGTTTTCCTCCGTCATCACAGGCGTGCTGCTTTCTGCCCTACTGTGCCTTCCCGAGCGTCTTCTCGGAATGTGTGCCTACGTTCCATGCACCCGATACCGCTGACTGCCATCTGTCCTCCCATTGCGTGACGGCTCGTGTGTCACCTCCCTCGACCAGACATGTACAGTCAACTCATTCACTCGCTTCCTCTATGCAGGTGCTTTCCTCCATCATGCCACGTGCGCTGCTTTGTGCCGTACTGAACCTTCCAGAGCGTCACCTCAGAATGTGTGCCTACTTGCTATGCACGCGATACCGGTGACTCATCTGTCCTCCCACTGCGTGACAGCTCGTGCGTCAACGTCAACTCCCTCGACCGGAAACTACACTATCGAACAGACATGCACGCAACGCGTTACAAGTGATGAGTTACCTTTACCTGTTAATATGTTTGGTAACAAGTAACGTATTCACTTACTTTTCTAGAAAAGAAACGGCTAAAGTATTTAGTTACTTTTAAGGCCAAGTAACGAGTAACGGTATCTGGTTACTTTTGAGGAGTAATATGTACAAAACCGCTTAAACGGCCTCCTTTTTATTCTAAACTGAGTATGCGTCTATTGCGAGAATGATTGGTGCGCAACCCAAAAAACAACGAAAAGTAAGACAGTACAGCAAAGTATAACGCTGAACACGTCCATCGAACAGTTCGATTGACGTGTCCCGCGATAAACGTCGCTCAACGAAACTCTACAGCTCGGAATGTCCTTCACCCAGCGAATACAATGAGATTCGTTGGTTGAACCTTCTAGAATCGAGTACGGACCGAATGTAAACCCTGATGTTGCCAACGCGGGAAGGCACACAAGCCGGTGTCAACTTCGCTCTTTAGAAGTAGAGAGAACACAAGAGAAATTGAAATCCCAGATCTACCAGCTCTTGCTGAAGCACAACACCGCCGTTCCTTCGAGAGCGTCGGTAGAACGTCTCTTCGTCATTGCCGGAGATGTATTTTCAAGAAAGCAGGGAAACATAACTGTTGAATACTTCGGGAGGCAGTTACTGCTTAAGTACAACGACTGCTAAACAACAAACAATAAACCATAAAACAAACCATTACAAAAACAAACAAAACAACAACAACAACAAAAACAACCTTGCAATCTGATCTCGAGACGGCACGTGCTGATACCACTCAAAGAGCGCATATGGTCTTCGGGTTGAACGCCCGAATGGACGATGCTGAAAACCGTTCACGAAGAAATGATTTATTATTTTACTTTGTTTCTGATCATGCCCAACATGAGACTTATTTCTGTTCAGTCCGAAGAAAGAGTAGTTCAGTTATGGTCTGATCACCTTCATGTGACCCTTGAACCTAGAGATATAGAG